GGAGGCCACACACTGCTGAGCCTCATTCTGACGGGTCTGGAGGAGTTTCCACTGAAGCTGGATCAGCCTGTCATGTGATTTTACACTTTTATTTTGAGTATGAGTCCACATCCAGACCTCCATGGGACAATAATTCAGACGTACATAGATCTTGTTTATGTGATTTTGCTCTCAACACATTCCACCATGTGAGGAATGAAGATTCTCAGCTGGAATGTTTCATTCACTGAGATCCAGGACGTGTTATTTTCGTGTCCCTTTACTTTTTGAGCTGTGGACATTGAATGGAAGATAATCATTAGTTGCAGCCCAACTACAGAATTAAACATACATGTTGGACCTGATGCAGTCCACGCATGTGTTGTCTCTGCAGTTTAACCCCGGTCTGGTTCTGGTGTCAGCCGGGTTTGATGCAGCTCGGGGCGACCCGCTGGGTGGATATCATGTGACCCCAGAGGGATACGCCCACCTCACACACATGCTGATGTCGCTGGCCGGAGGGCGTGTCCTGCTCATCCTGGAGGTGAGTTGATGAACTAATAACTGATTATCATGTGACACGCTCTGACCCGATGTGGTCACGTGACCTCTTGTCATGTGATGTGGTCATGTGACGTCTCTTCAGGGAGGGTATAACTTGTCATCGATCTCGGACTCCATGACGTTGTGCACAAGTGTGTTGCTAGGAGACCCTCCTCCGGCTTTAGCGAGGCCGCTCCCCCCTCCTCACCACAGCGCCGTGGCAACAATCAACGAGGTTGTCCGCCACCACGCCCCCTACTGGAGGACCCTGAGGATACACAGTCAGTGAACCCGATTTACTCGGTTTCATTTATTTCTGTTAGTTGTTAACTTAATTTGCTTTTTGTTGTCTTTATTTTTATATTTATTTGTTTAAATTTGACTAGTTATTTAATTATTGTTTTCTACTTTGATGTTTCTTAAATTTTTCTTTTTTTCTGTTATTTTTTGTGTAATTTTTGTTACATTACATTTTTTATTATTTCACTTTATTTGTTCTCTTTTTATTCTTTACGTATTTAACTTTTGTCAAGATTCATTAATATAAGTATCGAGATCTACTTTAGCTTGTATTGGTATGGAGTTCTGATTCTGTGTTCTTGGACTCGTGTTGTTGTGATGCCCTGATGTTCCGCTCTGTGGCCTTCACAGTTCCACAGTCGGTGCGGGCAGCCTTGCCGTCCCCGAAGCATCGTGGGAGACGTAGTTCTAAAGGAAGCAGCAGGAAGTCAGAGCCAAGCGCCAACAACAGACCGCCGCCTGCAGACGACAAAGCTTCCTGTCAGAGAACAGGTCATCCCATAACTGGCTCTGTTTCGTCCAATCAGACGCATCACAGTCTGGAGCGGCTCACGCAGGGATTGGCCTGTTTGGACATCAGTCAAACCTCAGCCAATCATAGCCCTTCTACGTCCACACCGGTGGGAGGAGCAAGGCCAAAGGTCTGCTTGAGCGAGGAGGGGGAGCCAGGTGATCTTACACCTGAGCTCAGTCAAGCAGCAGAGCTGCCTCAGGTGAGCCATCAGATGAATCCTGCCCTCTTGGTGACTTTGAGCTTCCTGATCTCTGTTGTCAATCATTAGCAGACAGTCGCCATGGCAATGCCACAGCAGAAGGCAGAAGGAGCCGGGGAGGAGCCAGAGACGGAGGGAGCATGCGGTTGGTCGAAGCCTCAGATGTCTCTGGAGCTGGTGGGCGAGTCAGGAAGTATATTGATGACATCATCTCATCTAGTCGCTCATCAATAATTAACTGATGTCCACTTGTCTTTCTGTCTCTCTGCAGTCCACTCTGTATGTGATCGACCCTCTGCCGTGGTGTCCTCACCTGGACGCCGTGAAGCCCCTCCCCCTCTTAGGTATCAATGTCCTCCTGCCCTGTGAGGACTGCGGCTCTGATGCCGAGAACTGGATCTGTCTCACCTGCTACCAGGTCGCCCGTCTCACCTGTCTCGCACATGCTCAGGCATCACATGAGAGAAAATGTCTAACCTGTCAGTGATGTGTGTCCTCAGGTGTTCTGTGGTCGCTACGTGAATGAGCACATGGTGTCTCACGGCGTCGTGTCTGAACACCCGCTGGTGCTGAGCTTTTCCGACCTGTCGGTGTGGTGCTACCTGTGTGAGGCATACGTCCACAACCAGGTAAAAAAGCAGGTAGCACACAGGTAACACAGCAGGTAACTAACAGGTAACACACAGGTAACCAACAGGTAACACTCAGGTAACCAATAGGCAATAACAGGTAGNGCTGTGAGGTGACGGTGCTACCCACCGAGCTGCTGATGGGGCTAAGCCTAACCCTTCAATATCAACACAATGATGTATTGATCTAATAGGCATTCTGTTAAGATGCCTGAACCCCCTCAGCTGACTCCTTTCGACACAAAGGAGCAGCGACTCTACTCGGAGCTCCACATGGCTGAGCTCCTCACCGTATCTCTCAGGCTGAGCCCAGCCACCCAACAGCAAGGCCTCATCTCAGCCACTTGTACCGGCCATCTCTTTCTTTCGGTCACAACCCAGAGCTCATGACCGTAGGTGAGGCTTGGAATATAGATTGACTTCTGGCTCAGCTCTCCATTCACAACAACAGTTCAGACCCAACAGTGGGTCCAACTATATCTAGTCTGTACTGGTCCACCTCCTGCACCAGCTCAGGTTCCTTCTCTGCCAGTCAGGTGAGGTTCCACATTCCAACAACTAGTCCATGCCACCAGGGGGCATGAATGATTTAGTTCATTCCTTACTCATGCTTATTTAAATGGAGTTTGGTTTGATGAAGGTTCATTCCTGCAGCTCATGAAAATCATCACCATCTATTGATCTGTTGATTATTTTCTGGATTGATGAATTTGTTGTTTGGGCTATAAAATGGTGGAAGTTGTGGATCAAGGTCTCCTCGAATGTCTTGTTTTGCCCTGAAGGTTCGGCTGCCCGATCAGCACAGCCCCTGCCTTACTGGCCTGCCCTGTAGGTGGTGGACTCCTCTGAGGATGTGACTCCATGTGGTTCTTTTGGGCTGTGCCTGACCAAGCCCCATGGGGCGAGACTGGGCCACCAGACTCCTGCTGGCGAGCTTCCCTCCCTGGCCTGGCTCCGGGAGGGACCCCAGTCTATGAATATCACCATGTAGTAATGTGATGATGTTCTGATATGAACACGATAATGTGATGTAATTATCCAGGTCCTGGAATTATGTGTTGCAGACATCACCCCGAACAGCCTCAGAGGATCTTTAAAATCTTCTCCAAACATCAGCAGCTGGGATTAGTTGAACGTTGCCAGCGGATACCAGCTCGCTTGGCAACAGAAGAGGAGCTGTCCATGTGTCACAGGTACGCACAGGTTCAGTGTTGAGTGTAACTTACCTGTCCTGGACCTCACAGAGGCGGTTTGACTGTGTGTTTAGTGTGCAGCACATCGAGCAGATGAAGGCCACGGCAGCCATGAAGCCCAGAGAGCTGCACAAGCTGGGCGACGAGTTCAACTCCATCTACATAAACAACCAGAGCTTCCTGTCTGCCCAGCTGGCTGCCGGAGGCTGCTTCAACGCTGTGGACAGCATCCTGGGAGGACAGGTAACACCTGTGGGCAGCCTACACAGGACAGGGTCCTGATGGGACACTCCTGTGAGAGCCACCACGTTCTACAATTCTAGTTTCATCAGCAGACACTTTTATCCAGAGCGACGTCCACCTGAGAGCAGATCCAACACCAGCACGGATCTGGTCAGGAGAAGACAACCTGGATCAGAGCCATAGAGCCGGTTCAGTGTGACAGGGTTCTGATGCCAGTAGCAGGCTGTAGGGAGGGGACAGGACATTTAGTTTTAGGGTTTGTTTGTTTCCAGGCTGTCAGGTGTTGAGTGAAGAGCTGCTCTTCAGTC